TGTTGAATTACTTTAATACTGCCGGCGTTTTTAACTGCACAATTATTTTTAGTATCCTCGGCAAAAAATTTCCACTCCTCTTTAAATACCCGTTCTCTTGTTCTACTTGTTAGACCTGCTAATTCTGCATTTTCTATCATCTTAGGTTGCCAGTCTTCCTTCCTCTCACTTTCCATTTTTGGGCTAACAAAATCCGATCCGCTGTTTTTGCATACATGAGTAAATTTTTCTGACTCCTGGGAACCTCTTTCTGAACAATTCCTAGCAGAAATGCCTCTGGGTTTTTGGGAAAACTTGTTTTGAACATTTTTTTCAAATGCCAGTGTGGTGTAGTGGTTAAGAGCGGTAGTCTCGTAATCTGGGGAACCGCGTTTGAGTCTCCGCTCCTCCACATGCAGCTGCTGGGTGACCTTGGGCCAGTCACACTTCTTTGAAGTCTCTCAGCCCCACTCACCTCACATAGTGTTTGTTGTGGGGGGAGGAAGGGAAAGGAGAATGTTAGCCGCTTTGAGACTCCTTAAAGGGAGTGAAAGGCGGGATATCAAATCCAAACTCTTCTTCTTCTTCTTATTATTATTATATATTGTTTCCCAATATACTTTAACTTTATTGCATGACCACCATATATGGAAAAAGGTTCCTTCTACTTCTTTACATTTCCAGCACGGGTCTGATTCCACCTCATACATCTTAGCCAATCTACTCCATTACTCCAATCTACTCCATTAAATATCATCTATGGATCATTTTCATATAATTCTCTTTAAGTGTGTAGCATGCAGTAAATTTCAGTTTCTCCCAGGGGTTTAAATCTATATTATGTCCTATAGCTATTGCACAGTGGGTCATTGGCACTTTAATCAGCTCATCTTTTGTTTCCCATTCCAATAATAGTTTGTACATTTTAGACCAGTTTGTACATTTTAGACAATAGTTTTTCCTTGTACATCAATAGCTATTTTTGAAATTGTGAGTGTTGGTTAAAAAAAAAGTTTTTAAAATATAATTTAAACATATCATATAATTGGTGATACTGTAGCCAATCACTAATTTAGCTCCTTCTTCCATTGGTTTCAGTCAGTTCGCTCCCTGAAAAATCAAACAAATCTCTATAGGTCACTCACCATCTATCCATGTTAATTCTCTTGATTGTTATTGTTTCAATTGGCGATAACCATAGGGTTGTTTTTCCCCCAACAAGTTTTTATGTTTCTCCCAGACTCTATACAAATTTCTCCTGATAGCATGGTTCATAAAACTCATATATATTTTAGCTTTCCTGTACCAAAGACATGCACGCCAGCCAAACATTATATTGTGGCCTTCAAGATCTAAAATGTGTGCATCCTCCAATACAACCCATTCCCTTAGCCAACACAAGCAAGCTGCCTCATAATACAATTGTAAGTCTGATAGGACAAAGCCTCCTCTTTGGTTTGTATCAAACAATTTTTTGTGTTTAATTCACGGCTTTCTCCCTGCCAGACAAATTTAGAAATACCCTTTTTTCCCGTTCCTTGAGGCAACTTGGTTTATCCATGATCAGGATTGATTGGAATGAGAACAGCATTTTTTGGAGCACATTCATTTTGATAGCTGAGATTCTCCCTAGTAGGGAAAGCTTCATCCTTCCCCCTAGGGCCAGCATTCCAGACTGCTATATCATGCATCACCACCCACCTCACCACTAAAAATAAAGTGACCCACAAATGTGTTTTCTGAAGATCTTAGGCAGCCAGATGTGAGCATGCATGGTATGTGTGTATTGGAACCAACACCAATTTGTGAAGACATGAACCAATGGTATGAATCATTTCGTTGTCATTTGTTGATGCCTGTGCAGGGGGTTGCATTGCCTACACTAGGTGCGCATGAACCCCTGATGTTTTTGCTTGGTGACAGTAGCCACAAAGGGCAGCGTGACAACCAGCCTCCCCCTCTATCCCTGGACTAGGGAAAAAATACATTGTACTACATGTTTGAATGAATAATACATTGGATATTTTATTACAAAGTCACTACAACTTACCTTTATGTATACATTTTGGTTATGCCTTTTGACTTAAGCAGTTACTATTTTTTCTGTTACTGTCCTATGCAAAAGGAAGCATCATGGCTTGATTGAAATGAAATTAAATTATTGCAAACTTCCAAAGCTGTCAAAAAATTTTTCCTAAAATAACCTTTCCCCCCCCCTTTTTTTTTTTTGCTCCTGCTGCTTCCGTGCTATAGATCATAATGCTGAGCTCACTAGCAGAATTAAATAGCTACATTGACAGAACACAACTAACAGAAGATCTTGGAGGAACTCTAGATTACTGCCATAATAGGTGGCTGACACATCGCACTGTAAGTCATTTCCCTTTAACTGGTTGTATCAATGGACTTCTGTTGAACGATCTGTCACTGTGGGCATAGCCTTATGAATACAAATTGAAGTAGCGTATATGAGAAGATGTTTCAGAAGAACTTGGCAATCCCAGAGAGATATACAACGATTAATGAATTTGGGAGTTGTGACTTTAGAGTTTGGGAATTAACAATATATTGTTAAAAGAGGGTGGCTTTTTTTGGTGATAACTCACGAGACAGGAGGAATGCAACAACTAAAGTGCTTTTAAAAGAAAAACTTAGTTCCATTAGGTGATATCCATCATTAGTCATAACTGGAGTAGACCTGGATATCATCCACTGAAGTTTCAAACTATATTGAAAAATTCTGCTATAGGCACTTAATGAGGTAAATAATGGTGGAGACATCGTATTTATAGGTTTTGACATTTAGTTTTAATGCAACCTTTTAATTTTTGTAAGTGATATTTCTAAAAATGTCAAATGATATCTAACAATAGTCAAACAGAAATCAACGAATTTAAGTAACTTAGGTTCACTGATGTTAGTGGGTCTGCTCTTGAGTTTGACTTAGTTGGCTATTACCCACTGATTTGTCACTTTTTATTTATGCTTCTATGTCTATGTGTGTGTGTTTATATTCAATGGCATTTGACTCCTGAGTGTGACTGTGTAATGCCTTCATTAATCCCAAAGGCTATAGAGAACTTTGCTCAAATGGTTAAGCAGACTGCTAAAAACCTTCGATCCTTCGGGACTGAACTGGCAGAAACAGAGCTACCAAACGATGTGCAATCCACCAGTGCCCTTCTTACAGCACACACTGAAAACAAAGACAAAATGAAGGTATTCTAGCTGTGTTGTTATATGTGGTGTTAGCAATATCTGAGGACGTTTTATTGAATACACTGGTACCTCTGGTTACGAACTTAATTCATTCTGGAGGTCCGTCCTTAAGCTGAAACCGTTCTTATCCTGAGGTGCGCTTTCGCTAATGGGGCCTTCCGCTGCGCGGGCAATTTCTGTTCGCATCCTGGGGCAAAGTTTGCAACCAGGAGCAGCTACTTCCGGGTTAATGGAGCTCGTAACCTGAAGCGTTCGTAACCAGAGGTACCACTGTAGTTCAAGTAACAGAGCTTTAACTTGGTTTGCCATACTTTTGCCAGGCAGAATTCATGCTGCCTTTAAAATGCTTTGGGCCATCCTCTCCCCAGTTACCAGTACCAGCAAAAAGAATAGTAGCAGTGTGAGATTTTAAAGTAGTTTCATTGTATTTTATCATTTCTTACAACAGCATTTCTTTCTTTCATCTCTTTCCCCCACAAAATCCCGAATCAATGTTTGGATAATTAATTATTGATTAATTAGGAGAATTTTGCCCAGGGATTTTTCACTTTTAAGCAATGTGGTGAGAGAGGTTTTTCGGCACAAAGCTAGAGAAAGAGAAAGTCAGTGAGTCATAATAAAAAAAAAAGACACACTAAAATCAACTTATTGCAAATCTAAGGGATTGTATTGAATGTGATATGTTAAACAAAATAATTGTTAGATGTTTTGCATTTTTAAAAAACAACAACGTAGTGTTGGTTGTGCTAGGATTTTGCCAGTGACGGTTTCCAAAATATACTTTGAAGTGTTTAACCCTAATTGTTGGGCTGCAGGGAACAGCAGAACTTCAGTTGAAACTCAGAAGTCTAGCTTGGGGAAGAAAGGAAGGGCTAGGTAGGAGCAGGATGGGGTGAGCATTGTACTGTTGACACAAATGATGCTGCTTTGGTTCCAAAGGAGATTCGGTTGTTTGTTTTGGAGCCAGCCAAGGTCCCAAATCTCTTAAAGTCTCTGTATGTGTGTATTTGTATGTATGACCTGCCTTTGGGGATAAGTTTTGTGAGGATACTTAAGTGGTGGTGACCAGGGTCCAGGCTTTTCCTTCTCAGACAATGGGAGGTGAACAAGGCAGCCTTTTAATGATGCAGTTCCAGTGGCATAGATGGTACAACAATAGACTACTCGTCTCCAATCTCAGTTTTTGCAAAGCTTGAAGATACAGCCTCGGAGGAATTCTTAGGGGGGGAAAGTCATAGCCTTTTTAACTTTTCCACAGGAGGATCTGAGGATAGCATTAATACAAGGACAAGATATTCTCAAAAGTATTAGAAAACCGGTTTTTGAAAACTCAGAGTACAACATGAATCCGGATCAGCTAGAAAATCAAACGACTGTGGAAAGGTGAGATAAACCTGGTGCTTGTAACATGTATGTTGTGTTGCATGCTCCCCCCCCAAAAAAAACATGTAATCAAATAAGCAGCCAGAATTAATTTGTTTCCAAAATAAAAGTAACTGTTCTATTTCACTTACAGTGCGCTGGATAGAGTTATTGTCCTTTTCTCTTTTAGGCTTCTAGCCCAGCTAGATGAAACTGAAGCCGCCTTTGATGATTTTTGGTCTAAACATCAACAGAAGCTTGAGCAGTGCTTGCAACTTAGACATTTTGAACTGGAGTTCAAAGAGGTGATGACTTTTAAATATATATATATAGAGAGAGAGAGAGAGACAGACAGACAGACAGACAGAGAAACATAGAATTGCAGAGTTGGAAGAGACCACAGTGGTCATCTAATCCAATCCCCTGCAATGCAGGAATCTTTTGCTCAACATGGGGCTTGAACCCAGAACCCTGAGATTGAGTCTCTTGCTCTACTGACTGAACTATCCTCAATGCAATTCAAAGTCAACACCCAGTAATATTTTGTGTGTTGTATTACTTTGCTATCATCTTGCTCTCCTCTGCCATTCACTAAATTAATTTTGCCTTATGTAGTACTATCAAAAAACATGTCTCAGTTTTATTTATTTAATAGTGTTCATAAGCTGCCGTACATTATAACAATCTCAGGGCAGGGTAGAATAAAACTAAATGTAAACCATAGCAATTCCAGTGTTGTAACTGAGAGAACAGATGAATCAACATCTACAGGATATTATAAGCCCTGGCTCTAGTTGAGGCCAGCCTAACCTCTCTGAGGCCTGGGACCTTCAGGATGTTTTTATTTGCAGACCGTAGGTTCCTCTGTGGGGCATACCAGGAGAGGCGGTCCCGTAGGTACGAGGGTCCTAGGCCGTATAGGGCTTTAAAGGTTAAAACCAGCACCTTAAACCTGATCCTGTACTCCACCGGGAGCCAGTGCAGCTGGTATAGTACCGGATGAATGTGATCTCGCAGCGAAGACCCCATAAGGAGTCTCGCCGCGGCATTCTGCACCCGCTGGAGTTTCTGGGTCAGTCTCAAGGGCAGCCCCACGTAGAGCGAGTTACAATAATCCAGTCTGGAGGTGACCGTCGCGTGGATCACAGTGGCTAGGTCAGGGCGAGAGAGATAAGGGGCCAACTGCTTAGCTTGGCGGAGATGAAAAATGCCGCCTTTGTTATAGCTGTAATCTGCGCCTCCATAGAGAGGGAGGTATCGAAGATTACACCCAAACTCTTAACGGACGGTGCTGGCACTAATTGCACCCCGCAAGAGATGGGAGTTGCCCCCCCCAATCCCATATCGTCCCGTCCCAGCCAGAGGACCTCTGTCTTCGAAGGATTTAACTTCAACCGGCTTCCATGTAACCATCCAGCCACAGCTTCCAAACATCTGGTCAGTGTGTCTGGGGCCGAGTCAGGATGGCCATCCATCAACAGATAGAGTTGGGTGTCATCGGCATACTGATGGCAACCCAGCCCAAAACTCCGGACAAGCTGGGCGAGGGGGCGCATAAAGATGTTAAAAAGCATCGGGGAGAGTATCGCACCCTGAGGCACTCCACACACCAAGGAGTGGCGGGATGACAATTCCCCAAGCGCCACCCTCTGTCCCCGACCGGAGAGAAACGAGCGCAGCCATTGAAGGACTGTGCCCTGGATCCCCACGTCGGCAAGGCGGTGGTCCAGGAGTTCGTGATCAACCATGTCGAAGGCTGCTGACAGATCTAGAAGAATCAGCAGCCCCGACCCGCCTCGATCCAGCTGCCTACGGAGATCATCTGTTAGGGCGACCAGAGACGCCTCGGTCCCATGACCAGCGCGGAAGCCAGACTGGAATGGATCTAGAGCCGATGTTTCATCCAGAAACCTACCAAGCTGTTCAGCAACCGCTCTCTCAATCACCTTACCCAGGAATGGAAGATTCGAAACCGGGCGGTAATTGGATAGATCTAAGGGATCTAATGATGTTTTCTTTAAGAGCGGGCGCACCACTGCCTCCTTCAATTCCCCTGGAAATATCCCGGTGCCAAGGGACAAATTGATGATATCCCCCAGGGGGGGGCCCGCACCTCGCCTGGACACGCTCTAATCAGCCAAGACGGGCACGGGTCAAGAGGACAGGTGGTGGGCTTTCCAGCTCGGAGGAGTCTGTCCACATCGGCTGGGGATATCCGATCAAAGTGGTCCAATACTGGACCCGAGGACAGTCGAGGGGCCTCCAGTTCCTTTATTGTATCCAAATTGGCAGGGTGTGCAATAATAAATTACATTTGTGACCTTCCATAAAGTACGTCATTCACCATCTAAATATTGTTGACTTAAGTCCTACAGCTTCACAGCTTTGACTTCACAGAATCCCTTCTCAAAGTTTCAAATCAACGTTCTGTGATTTAAATATATTTGACACAAGAAAGCTGTACAGCATCAAAAAGACACCCTTTATAGTTCAACGTATATAAGTTTCCATGATTATTACTCTCAGTGAATGAGATGGCTGGCAGCTTTGCTTTGTTGGTGTGACTAAAGAAAATGAAGACCTTGTTATATAACTGACGATTTATGAAAGAGGTGAAACTTGTTCCCTCAGGTGTGTAAAATTCCACATTTTCATTTACATGTAGCTGTCTCTCGTTTCAGGTCAAAGCAGCTCTTGATAGCGTATCTGAGAGGTTGTCACATTTCACAGAAGTGGGAAATAGCTGTTCACACGTGGAGCACATTCTGAAAGATCTCACCAGCTCTGAAGAGAAATCGCATGTAAAGATTTGACGTTTCTTCGTATGCCATGTTTTTTTTCGGTAGGCTGCTCTTGTGAAGAGATAACGTTACAACTTATACTTTCATGTCTTAACCAATTACTTTCATAGGAGATTTTGGGAAGGGCCAAGATGCTGATCTCTAAAGGTGACCAGTTTATACAAAACAACCATTATGCTGTGGACTCCATTCTCCCAAAGTGCAATGAACTCCAACATCACTGTGATGCCATTGCCACCGCAGTGAATAAAATCAGGGCTTTCTTGAACCAGTCGCATGAGTTGCACAGCCGGCTGGAGAAGGTAGGCCCAACTTTACTGATTTTGCTCATCAAATTGCAGGCACGTGATGACCCTTCCTGGGGCAGTCACTGTTGACTACTGTAACACAGAAGGAGTAGCTTCCCACAACAATGGGGACCAAAATATCCAACCAAAGAGTGGGACAACTTCATTTATTAGAGTGACAGGCAACAGAAACATAGGAAGATGTGTTATACTGAAACAGACCATTGATCTACTTGCCTCCCCTTCAGCTAGTGGATCAGGACCCACTACAGTCATACATCATGTTGCGTCTGCTTCAGGTTATGTGTTTTCGTGTTGCGTCCTGCGGCAACCGAGAAGTACTGGAATGGGTTACTTCTGGGTTTCGCCACATGCGCAGAAGTGCTAAATTGTGCTGTGTGCATGCGCAGACACGGCGCTTCAGCTTGCGTCAGTTCCGTGTTGCGGTCAGGCCTCCAGAATGGATCCCGTCCGTAACCCGAGGTTCCACTGTACTGAGTTGCAGCAGTCCTGCCATCATACAGATGTATAATCTGAGATCTGAAAAGGTTGAAGATTACTGGTCTACACTGACTGCAGAATAGAAGAGAGGTTGAGGCATGGAAATAGGGGCGATCTGTGTGCAAGGGAGAGTTCAGAACAGTAAAGAAGGAGGCTACAGGGGGAAATGGAGTGAAGGTGAAAACTGGAGTGCAAAATGGCTTGCAAGAAAAGGGAGTAGGATGCATGGGAATTGGGTTGGAGAGATGAAGCTCCAGGCGGTTCATATGGGGTGAATAGCAGGAAATTGGCAGGCAGAGTGAGTAGGGGTGCAAGCCTGGGTGTGCGTGTATATTACTAAAGCTTTTCCAGTTCAATATTTACTGATGTGTCTTTTCTGCCTGCCTCCTTTGTACATTTACAGTCCATGAAGTGGTGTGATGAAGGAATTTTCCTGCTGGCTTCACAGCCTGTGGACAAATGCCAGTCCCAAGATGGAGCAGAATCCGCTTTACAGGAGATCGAGAAGTTTTTGGAGACGGGTGGAGACAACAAGCTCATGGAACTGAATTACTTGTTCAGAGAATATGAAGCCATCCTTAGTGAGGAATTAATGGTACTCTTAATGCCGGAACTTAATAATGAATGGAGTATTCAGTTATTATGCCAAGATATCTTTACTTTCTCCCCAAACCTGTTTGTTTGAAGGAGCCAGAACCCGTGTCTTGCCCCATCATGAAGCACAGGTAGTCCAAGTCTGTCCATAAATTAAAGCTGAGGTGTTAAAATACTTTTGCAAGGGTGTCAAGATAGCTACAAACACGTGCATATGTATTAGAGCCAGAATATTGTGGACTCCCACTCACAAACACTGGCTAATTCTGTCTGAGCAGAAGCACCTGGTCACATGGGGTGACCAGTCACTGGTTGCTTTTTCTGCTTGGTGAGTGCCCAATCCTCCAGCCCACGACAAGCTGTTCATGGGACACTCCAGAGCAGCATGTGGGGCTGCCGCTATGGAAATTTCAGCTGCATATCTGTATGAAAGTAGGATAGAAGACTAAATGCAAGACAAATGAATATCTTGCTATACGATTTGTTTAGGCAACGAATAGGCATGCAGCTGAACTACAGTCGGAATTCAGTTGCTCAGAGCATTGTCCTAAGAATCTTAAATGTGTGCAATGTGTGAAAATGTTATTCATTTTTAAACCCAAGCATGTTCTTCGTTACCCATTTTTGTATTAAGAAAAAAACGTTATTCTTCCAAATCATTATTGAATTACTGGAAATTAGTGCACTATCAACTGAGTTGTGTGTTGACAATGCAGGATTAAAGCAGTTCAGTTTAAAAATAAATAAGCACCATGGACATGGTTTAAACCGATGGTTTAATTTTGGCTTTTACTACAGGAGCACATACAAAAAGTTTTGCAGAAGCAGGAAAGCATGGAAGAAATGTTTCAAAAGAGGCACGTCAGCCTTAAGAAACTGGCAGCTAAGCAGATGCGTCCAGTTCAGCCCGTGGCCCCTAGACCAGAGAACTGTCTAAAATCACCTTGTCCTTCTCCAGGTAAGCAGCTGGCTTGCTCAGAACCTGTTGAATCCAAAAATAACCGAGCTTATGACTTGACTGGCTTTCAATGGTTGGATTTGTTTTGCATACCAGGCCTTCAAAGAGACACCGAAGATTCGTCCAGCCCTGACAGTCTCATGGTTCGAGGAATGTACTTGAGAAGAATCAAGGTAGGTGTCTTTGTGTGGCTGCCCATGTATGTTTTTAAGCATGTATAGATGTATCAGGGATGGGAAACCCTCAGGCCTGGGGGTCAAATACAGCCCTCCAGACCTCTCTCTGACCCTCAAGACCATAGCCCCTCTCCCCAAGACATCTCTCTTGGGGAGGCCCTGCCCTGCCCTGCCCCCTTCTTTGTATGTCTCTGGG